AATGCCATTTAACAAAGAAAAATCAACCAAAAAATGAGTTTGCATGTCACCTCTGACACACGTGTCATAGGTTCGCCATCTCTGTCCTAGAGTGTCAGGGAGTCCTTGTGAGTTTAGGCCACCATGCTGATTATAAGGTACTCAGGTCAAAACTTGCTGGAGGGCCCATTAGTCCTAGAGAGTGAATTCTTTGTGCCCTAGGGAATCAGAAATCTGACAAGGTCAGAATGAGTCTCTTAGAAACTATGGTAACTATAACAATGACTAGAGGCCTGGTGCACAAAATTCATGCACAGGGGTGGGAGGAGAGGGTACCTCAGCCCGGCCTGCATCCTCTCCAATCTGGGACCTCTCAGGGGATGTCTGACTGCCGGTTTAGGCCCAATCAGGCCTAAACCGGCAGTCAGACATCCCTCTCACAATCCAGGACCGCTGGCTCCTAACCACTCACCTGCCTGCCTGCCTGATCGCCCCTAACTACTCTGCCTGCCTGCCTGATCACCCCTAACTACTCTTCCCTGTTGGCCTGATCGCCCCTAACCGCCCCTGCCTCAGCCCCTGCCACCATGGCTTTGTCTGGAAAGATGTCCATAGGATGTCTGGAAGACATCCAGTCTAATTAGCATATTACCCTTTTATTAGTATAGATTATTAGTATAGATAACAAGGTAGCATTTTCATCCATGCTTACTATTTCAGGCATAGTCCTATATCCTTCTCTCTTCTGGATTCTCAATCACTACTTCATCAGGTAGGTAGAGGTGGTCCTCATTATTTGTGGATTCCATATTTGCAAATTCACCTACTCACTAAAATTTATTTGTAACCCCCAAGTCAATACTCTTTTTCAGTGCTCTTTGGCATGTCTGTGGTTACTTGTAGCCATGTGCTGCATGGATGGGTGAAAAAATTTGAGTCTCAAAAAAAAGAAAAGAAAAATTTGAGTCTCACATTCCTAGGTAAGGTCAAACAAGGCAACTGCTCTACCTTTTTGTCTCAGCTCTCATACTGTACACAGGTGTTTTTTGCAATCTACTTAGTGCCGTTATTTTTCACATTTTTGTGCTTTGGGGGGTAATGTTGCTGCTTAAAATGCATCAAAGCTGAAGTGCCATCTGGTGTTCCTAAGTGCAGGAAGGCTGTGACATGCCTTGAGGAGAAAATACATGAGCTTAGATGAGCTTTGTTCAGCACGAGTTATAGGACTGTTGGCCAAGAGTTCAATGTTAATGAATTAACAAAATGTGTTAAGTAAGGGGTATCTTGAAACAGGAACACACATGCAACAAGGTTATGTATTGACCAGTGGACAAAAATATTGTGTCCAGAGGCTAACAGGAACCTATTTCCCATAGGAGCAATGGTTCAGTATTCATTAATTCAGTGTTTGTAGTGACTTTATGCAACATAACTACCTATCTCAAATAAAGAGAGAAACTGTGTTAATTACCCCAGGAGATAATGTTATGGCATGTAAATATGAAGTAATGAGCTCAGAATCACATAGCTAGTACAAGGTATAGGCAGGATTTGAACCCGTGGCAGACTGGCTTCAGAACCTATGCTCTCTTTCCTATCACATCACTCTGTTTCTTATAAGACAAGAGGTTCCTGATCAGGATTCCTTGAAGGTCAAGGTTGGGGGGATCAGGGTGTCCTAGAAAACCAAATGCCTCCAATTACTTGTAGACAGGGTTGGATTTCGGGTCGGGTTTATGCTTAAGATTGAATTGCCAGTTCTGCCTTCAGGCATCCCTTGCAAAGGGGCGAAGTCCTAAAGTAAAGCTGAGTCTCACGAGTTCACCCCAGGGACAGAGTGTTTCCTTTATTATTATTAAAATTTATTTTGACTGAGTCAAAATAAATGACTCAGACCTCCACGGTGGGTGAGTGAATCTCTGGGGTGCTCCTGCTGAAGTGACAGGTGCGGGGGCTCCATGCCTGGGCTCCGTAGGGCAAACTCGCCCTTTCTTTGGCTTACCCAGCCTCCTGAGGGATTATGATATTCTGGGATGTCAAGGCAAAGTTATGATGTCTCAGTATTGTAATGGGGTGACTCGTGGAGACGACCACCAGGGACTCAGATCAAAATTTAGGAGCCTTTATTAAGCTGGCCAGCGACTACAGTTACAGCACCCTGCCGAAGCAGAGGCTGAACTACAGCGCTGACTGCTACAGGAGTTACATTTTATTATTAAATTCTGTGGAGGCCCAGAGAAAAATGTGTCTTTCAAATTCTGGGCCCCCCCGCCCCATGTGGAGGAAGCTCTCTTTATTTATACTTTTTCCAGTCCTTTGTCTCCCAAATTTGGAATGAGACTTCCGGGCCTTCTGAGAAAGAAGGCTTGCGTGCTGGGAAGGGGCCATGAGACCATATCTCAAGGCCTGGCCTGATGTCGGTACCTTCCTATCTATGTGTTTTAGGAACAGACAGCACAGCATGACCCGTCTGGTCAAAGCTCCAGATAAGCAGCCCAACACAGTATCCTCTGAAAACAGGACTAGTGGATCAAAGTTTCCTTGTAATATCAAAATGTCCTGGGAAATTAGGCTGTCCTGGGAGGCTGGGCAGAGTTCCCGTGTAGCGTTAGGGGATCTTGAGGCGTCAGGGTACATTGGATTTCAATGCTTGCTTGTGGGTGCAAGTTGACTACATGTTACTGGGTCTCTGGAGGTCATGGCTGTCATGGAGCTCAGGTTATTCTAGGAGGTCACAGTATGTCTTGGGGTAGAGGGAGAGGGGCTGGTATCTCGGGTCAGTGTTTCTCGACTTTAATGTTATTACGATTGAATGTGCCTCCTTCCAGTTCATACGTTGAAGCCCTGACCCCAGTGTGAGGGTATTTGGAGATGGGGCCTTTGGGAGGTGGTGGGGTTAGAGGACATGGTGAGTGTGGGGCTCCCACGATGGCATTAGTGCCTTTGTAAGAAGAGGAAGAGACACCAGAGCTGGCTCGCCCCTGCACTGTGGAGACGCTGGCTGTCCGCAACCCGCAACAGAGCTCTCGCCAGTGGGCACCTTGATTGTGAACTTCCCTGGCCTCCAGGACTGTGAGAAACAAACGTCTAAAGTTTAAGCCACCCAACCTTTGGTTTTGTTTGTTAGTTTGTGGGTTGGGGAGGGGGGGGTGTTTTTGTGTTTTGTGTGTGGTGGGGGGGCGGGGGTTGTTTGTTGGTTTGGCAGCCTGAGTTGATGAAGACAAATGTACATTCAGTTCTCCTGGGGACCCTGTTGCAATTCAGATTCTGGTTCAGTAGGACTGTGGTGGGGTCACGATCCTGCATTTTTAACAAGCTTTAATATGTTTCTGGTGCTTTTGATTCATGGACCATATTGTAAGTCTCGAGATCCTAGAGGATTATGATGATTTTCTGTCTTAACTTGTCAGGGTGCTTTTAAAGGATGTGTGTGAAGGATTAGCATGACCTTGAGGATCAGACTGTTGTATGGGTGCAGTGTGTTCTAAGGGGGTTAGGGTGTCCGCTTTGGGGCAGTGTGTCCTGAGAGCTCAGAGCTTCATAGTGGGGACAGGGGATCTCCTAGTGGAGGTGGAGTGTTCTGAGTTTCAGTGTGTCTTAGAGTCCCCTAGATTCCTGGGATATCAGGTTGTCTTTAAAGAGTCAGGATGTCCTGGGACAGTGATGGCGAACCTATGACACACGTGTCAGAGGTGACACGCGAACTCATTTTTTTTTGGTTGATTTTTCTTTGTTAAATGGCATTTAAATATATAAAATAAATATCAAAAATATAAGTCTTTGTTTTACTATAGTTGCAAATATCAAAAAATTTCTATATGTGACACAGCACCAGATTTAAGTTAGGGTTTTTCAAAATGCTGACACGCCGAGCTCAAAAGGTTCGCCATCACTGTCCTAGGATGTCAGAATGTACTTCCTGGGTCTGTGTAGCCTCAAGACCAGAGTATTGTGGGTGTCAGGGTGTCCTGGCTGCTCCAGGATTTTGGGTGTATCCAGGTTTCCTTGAGCAATCCAAATGTTGGAATGTCATGGGAATCCCAGTCTCCTGCGAGTCCTGAGGCCCAGGGGGTTCAAGGTGCACCTGGAATTCAGATGCTGTTCAGGGTCAGAGTTTTCTGAAAGTCTAGGCAACCTTGGAAGATTGCGGGGCCCTGGATGAATGAGGCGGTGACATGTGGAGGAGGAAGCAGAGAGCACTGAGAACTGTGGTGTCCTGGAGACTCAGCTGGCGGCTCAGGTTGTCCTCGGGGGTGTCTGGTGTATTCTGAGAATCAGGGTATCCTGGAGGGGCCAGAATGCACTTGTATCTCTTAGTTTCTTAGTTGTCTGGACACAGGCCTGTGGGTAGCACCCACGGGCTGAGATGCCAGGCAGGCCCTGCTCCTGGCCCCCGTTGCACCCTCCCCCCAGGTGGGGTTCTGAGGAAGGGTCTTAGGAGGAATGCATTTTCTCCTCCTTCCCCTCCACTCCCAGCAGGGGATTTAACAGGACAAAAGAATGTTGTCCTCTGGGAACAGGAGCTCTTGGCCCCAGTCCCTGGACCCTCCAGCAGAGCACCTTCCCTCATCCGGCTTGTGATCCTCCCCTGATGAAGGGCTCTGGTGACCAGGCCGTGATTGGATGGGCCCACAGGGCGAGGAGGAGGTCATTCCTTCAAGACTCAGGAGACAGAGGTGGTGTGGGGTTGCAAGCTGGGCAAAGAGGCAGCTGAGAGCAAAGGGAGAACGGTGTGCAGGAGCGAACGGGCAGGGAGAGGATAACAGAGGCAGAAACAAACAGGGGGAGGGCAAGACAGAGAAAGAGGTGAAGCTCAAGTAAAGAACTGGGGAATTTAAAAAAAAACACAGAGATATCTATCTATATCTACAGAGAGAGACTCGAGAGAGGTATAAACAGAGGGAGACAGAGCGAGGTAACAGGCATAGAGGGAAAACAGGAAGAGAGAAAGACTGCCCCGGATTAGAGACTCTTAGAGACTCGGACACAGGCCGGGACTGTCCAGGGTGCTGCTGTTCGGCATGGAAGTGGAAGGGAGGCGTGAGCAGGGTAAGCCAAGGAAGGGGCGAGTTTGCAGCAGCCTCTGGCTGGAGAGCTGCCCAGCCGCCAGGACTCAGACCTCCACGGTGGGTGAGTGACTCTCTGGGGCGCTCCTGCTGAGGCGGCAGGTGCGGGGGCTCCATGCCTGGGCTCCGTGGGGCAATGGTTTGACACAAGGAAGGTGAAGAGAAGAAATAGAACAGAGCCCTACAATGTTAGCGCCATGTGGACCCGGGAAAGCCTGGGCCACTCCTTCCCTGGCGTTGCTGAGCTGCTGAGCGGCTCACCTCACTGGTGTGGGCACAGGGAAAGCTGGGCCTGTCTCCTGGCTCTGACCTCAGTTTGCCCACTGCACCGCCTTCTCTGAAGGAGGGAGCTGGAGGGGCCAGGGTTTGGGATCTGAGGAGAGCAGGGACCAGTGGCTCAAGGCATCCGTGTCCCCAAGGCCGAAGGTGGGCACTGGGTAGGGCCAGGCCCCTGGGTCCCACAGGCCCCTGGGATGGGGTGCCACAGCTCCAGACACCTCCTCTTCTCAGTGAGTACCTTCCAGGTGTTTCTTTTCTCTCCCTGTTCTCTCTTCCCCGCAGGCTCTCAGACTAATTAGTGTGGGGGCTTAGGGAGCCTGTGGGAAGGACAGACAAGCCTTTCCCACGAGCTCAGGTTCCTGCAGCCGAGTGGCCCAGCCAGGGCCGGAATAAGGGAGAAGATGAAATGAAGAGGGGAGGGTGTGTCTGAGCGGAAGAGGGGGAGCGGTTGTCTTCCCAGGGAGCGGTGCGGAGGATAGGAGCAGTGTGACGAAGGTTTAGGTGAACGTGAGCCCTAAGATAGGGACAAGTAATGGATCTTAGAGACCTGGACAGTTGGTTGGGTGTCAGAGCAAATAGGGCAGCCACAGGGTGAGACACAGGAGGCGGCGCGTTGCAGGGGGTGGACCTGGAGAGTGGGATGGGGTGGGCATGCCCTGCAGAGGCCAGGCTGCCAGAGCTGAGTGCCCAGGAGGAAGAGTGAGTCTGAAGAGTGGATCCCATGCGGAGAGGCAGCCTGGCTTAGGAGACTTGAGGTGAAGCAGGGCCAAGGCTGAGCTGGGTCCAGCTGGTTATGAAAGCTGCAGGGTTCCTGTCGGGGCAGAGTGTATATGGACAGCATGGAGGCTCTGAGCAGAGGGGGGACAGCACCAGTGTCGGGAGTGGACGGTGGGTCCACTGGGCAGCATCTCTCCCTCCCTCCCTCCTTCCTCAGACCTGAGCGCCCAGCCCTGCAGGAGCCTCTCTGGTGTGGGAGTGGGGACACCACGGCTTTCCCCGCAAGGACAGAGAGGCCACCTGCACTCCCGGCGCCGCCACCGCACCACCTTCAGCCCCGCACAGCTGGAGCAGCTGGAGTCAGCCTTTGGGAGGAACCAGTACCCCGACATTTGGGCCCGAGAGGACCTGGCCCGGGACACCGGTCTCAGCGAGGCCAGAATCCAGGTGATGGATTCTGGGAAGAAGTGCGGTTTGGGGGCTGAGGAACTACTGGGACACACATGCTCACAGGCATCATGACCCCAACCTAAAATTCACCAAAATATAGCCCATCCAACAGTCAACAGAACCTCCTCTGCTCGGGAGTGTCCCTGAGTTAACCCTAGTGCTAACCTAATCGAACTTGCATTTCAGCACCTACCCCCACCCTTAACAGTGATGTGAATTCCAACAGAAATTCAATCTTAACTCTTCACCTACATATAGACACATAACCTTGTCCCTAACCATGGCCTCAAAACTCAACCAGCCTGAGGCTCCCTCAATTCTAACTGTGGAGTTCATCAATCTTAGGCATAAACCCGACCCTAAATCCAACCCTGTCTGCAACAATTCAACTTGTCCATTGTCTGAATGTCTAATAACCCCAGGGGAACTGTCCTATTCTCTGGGGAGGGAGAAATGCCATGGTGTCATATTTATCTCCTTCTTGTTGCAAGTTAACATTTCTTACCCAAAGTTACAGTAGGGCAAACGTAGATACAAGTTGGGGATAATAGTGTGCGTCTCACTTCGTCAGTAGATCTGGCACAGACATGGCTCCTGGAGAGCGTTACTTCCTGTGGTGATGTGGGAAACATTTATGCCCTGTGCCTATTCCTTCTGCCACTGGGGAGGACGTCGCATGTAACAGTGCCACCTAATTGAGAGGAGGGCTCTGACCTGGCTATTCTCCCCCCTCAGGTCTGGTTCCAGAACCGCAGAGCTAAGCAGAGGAAGCAAGAGCGGTCACTGCTCCAGCCACTGGCCCATCTGTCTCCTGCCACCTTCTCTGGTTTCTTGCCCGAGTCCCCTGCTTGCCCCCACTCCTACTCCACACCATCGCCACCGGGGACCTGCTTTCCTCACCCCTACAATTATGCTCTTCCCTCTCAGCCCTCCACAGGTGGTTCCTTTGCTCGACCCCACCAGTCCGAAGACTGGTACCCCACCTTGCACCCAAACCCCGCTGGTCATCTTCCCTGTCCTCCACCCCCACCCATGCTTCCTCTCAGCCTTGAGCCACCAAAGTCCTGGAACTGAGGTCAAACAAGGGCTAATAAGGTAATTAATTGCCCAGGAAACAGGGAAAACTAGGTGGTTCCTTTCCTTCTGAGTAAAGTAGAAGTATGGTGAGGGGCAGCACGGAGAGTAGAAATTAAAAAATGGGAGGTCATGATCAAGGCTCACTGAGGTGATTGAGAGAATTTAGGGAGGTGAACCTACTGGAAGATGCACACAAGCCTCAATGGAGGCGACTGGGGGAAGGGTAGTTTTGATGGAAGCAATTGTTGCTGCTGACAATAGAAAGGGTTGAGGGAGATAGAGCTTGTGGGGCTTCATTCATTGAGGTCATGATTCAAGATCTCCATCCGAGCCATTGCTAGCTGATTTCAAGGCTTTTGATGGAAAGGCTACCCATACATTCCTTCCCAATCCCCCACCCTACACCCCAAATCAGTCACTCACTTTTGTTCATTCTGTCCTAGAAATATCTCTTGCATTTATTCTTCTCTTCTCCATTCCAGCAGGCACTGCTTTTGCTAGCTCAATATTTTCTAATTCTCAGTGGCTCCCTTAGCTTCAGTCTTTCTGATTCCAACAGACCTTGCAAATTCAGTCATCAAAGAATGGCTCCCAAATGTCTTATAAAAAAATAAATAAGATCTGATTCACTTGGCCTGTACGAGACTTAACATTCTTTCAACCTAACTTTTAAGTTGACTGCATATTTTATTTTCTCGTGGGTTTTTTTTTTTTTAAATTGGAACAAAGGAAGAAGATGTGTGTGTGTGTTTAGATACCATAAAGACTGTGCAGAAATCTATATGGTGTAAGCCAGGCAGTTCCATTTATAGAACTGTTTGTTATGTAGTTACATGATGTGATGGTAGTGTTTTAAATTAGGAAACCCCTGAGAGATTGTACCTCCTATCAGTGGTCGGCAAACTCAGTCAACAGAGCCAAATATCAACAGTACAGTGATTGAAATTTCTTTTGAGAGGCAAGTTTTTTAAACTTAAACTATATAGGTAGGTACATTGTTATTAACTTAATTAGGGTACTCCTAAGGCTTAGGAAGAGCCACACTCCAGGGGCCAACGAGCTGCATGTGGCTCGAGAGCCACAGTTTGCCGACCACGGTCCTAGTTGAAATAAACTATAATAAATCATGCTTCAGAAAAAGGAGGGGACTTCCAGGCAAGATGGAGGTGTAAGTAAATGTGTTACTCACTTCTTCCCACAACCATCAAAATTACAACTAAACCACAGAACAACCATCATTCAGAACCACCTGAAATCTGGCTGAATGGAAGTCAGATTTCATTCAACTAGGGAATTAAAGACACAGTCACATCCAGACTGGTAGGAGGGGCAGAGACAGGAACAAGCTGGTCCCACACCCATGTGTGGCAAATAAAAATAGGTCCCTGGCCAATGTGATTTAATGGTTACAGCATCAGCCATGCACCAAAGAGTCTCGGGTTCAATTCTGGGTCAAGGGCACATACTGGGTGGCAGCTTCAACACCTGGCCCCGGTCAGGGCACATGCAGGAAGCAACCAATCAATGTGTCTCCCAGCGATGTTTCTCTCTCTCCACTTCCCTCCCCCCATCTCTTCCACTCCCTCCCTTCTACTCTCTCTAAAAATCAATGGAAAAAAATATCCCTGGCTGAGGATTACTACAAAATAAATAAATAAATAAATTGGGCCCAGCTGGTGGAGCTGGTGTAGTGGTTGAGCTTCGACCTATGAGCCAAGAGATCATGGTTCAATTCTGGGTGAGGCACATGCCCAGGTTGCTGGCTCCATTCCCAGTGGGGGGCGTGCAGGAGGCAGTCAATCAATGATTCTCTCACATCATTGATGGTTCTATCTCTCTCTCCCTCTCCCTTCCTCAATAAAAATATGTATTTTTTAAAATGGGAGGGATATCTCAGCCATGGAGGTGCCACCCGAGGAGCGAGGGGGTCTCAGCCCCAAACCAGGCTCCTCAGCCCAGGGTTCTAGTGCCAGAAAGAGAAGTCCCATAACTTCTGGCTATAAAATCCAGCAGGGATTATGGCTCAGTGAGACAGAGGGCTGCTGGAGTCCTAAGCAGTTCCTCAGACTCACTTCCTCTGAGCTCCAACACTGGGGCAGCAGCTTGAAAGGCACCAGAGACACATGGGGAGGAACGGAATTATCAGGCATCAAGGCAAGACTGGGGTGGGGGGGGGTACCTTTCTCACAGACAGAAGTGCTGGCAGAGGCCACTGCTCCTTTGCTGAGCCTTGCGTCCACAGAGCCAGCAGGCAGGAGCATTTCTGAAACTCCATCAGCTAAGCTCACACTGTTTGCCCACCCTGGTGATTCCCTGAGGCCCTGCTCCACCCAACATTTAGGCCCACACTAGCTGTTTCCAGTGACTTTACTATAGGAATAGCCTGTCTTGGCTCATGCTTCTGATTTTCCCAAAATCTCTCAACTAAGCAGCATCTGGCCTCAGCAAGCCCTGTACCTCTCCCTAAGTGGCCCCAGGCCTGGCACTAACAGCAGCCAGCCTTGGTTTACAGCTTGACCTTTCCTGGGCACCTTCAAGCCCAGCACAAGTAGCAGCCATCTGCAGATCGCTTTGTAGCTCATACTGGGTGGCCCCAGGCAGAACACAGGCAATGGCTGACCTTGGCCTGTACTTCCTGGGAGGCCCCAGAGCCAGCGCACCCAGTAGACAGCTTCAGATCACATTGAAGTACCACCACGCAACCACCTCCACAAGCGACACACTCAAGGGGCAGACTCAGTGGGCACCAGAGCCTTGCTGAAGTGAGTACTGTTCTATGGGCTGGGCCACTGCACAGCTGCTGCTCCACTGTGCTCAGAAATTGGTGTCGGTGGTCACAGCCAGTTCTTCCAGCTGACTGGGCAGGTGGTAAATCTCTCCCATTGCCATGCCAACAGCAAACAAAGCTCAACTACAAGAGGAGGGCGTACACAGCCCACATGGGGCACACACCTCAAATGAACAGCTTGGGTGATTGGGGAGGCTGAGCCACTGGACTCTACGGGTCACTTAGCACACTAGGCGACTCTACCAAGGTGGGAAGATAAAGCAGCTCTACCGAATATCTAGAAACAAACACAGGGAAACAGCCAAAATGAGGAGACGAAGAAACATGTCCCAAGTGAAAGAACCGAATAAAACTCCAGAAAAATAACTTAACAAAGTGGAGACAAGCCATCTACCGGACGCAGAGCTCAGAGCCCTGCTAGTGAGGGTGTTCCCTGAACTCAGAGGAAAAGTAGAAGGACTTACGAGAACTTCAGCAAAGAGCTAGGAAATGTAAAAATGGACCTAGAAACCAGAAAAAAAAGAACCAGTCAGAAATAAAGACTACATTAACTGAAATGAAAAATACATTACAGGAACCCACAGTGGAGTAGATGAAGCAGAAGATCACATCAGAGATCTGGAAGAGAAGACAGCAGAAAACATCCAAGCAAAACAGCAAAAAATAAATGGGGATAATATAAGGAGCCTCTGGGACAGCTTCAAGCATACCAACATGCACATCGTGGGGGTGCCAGAAGCAGAGAGAGCAAGGACTTAAAAGCTTATATAAAAAAATAATAATAGGAAACTTTCCTAACCTGGTGATGAATATAGACATACAAGCCCAGGACGTGCAGAGAGTCCCAAACAAGATGAACCCAAAGAGGCCCACACCAAGACACATAATTAAAATGCAAAAGGTTGAAGACAAAGAGAGAATCTTAAAAGCAGCAAGAGAAAAGCACTTAGTTACCTACAAGAGACCTCCTATAAGACTGTCAGCTGATTTCTCAACAGAAACTTTGCAGACCAAAGCCTCCCGGCCCTCCTGGAAGGCGGGGAGCCAGCTGTGGTGGAGGAGGGGTTGGCGGCAGCGGCTGCAGCATCCAGTGCTGGCCCCGGCAGTTGGCGCGCCCTGCACACAAAGGCGCCCAGCCCTTGGGGAGGGCGAAGAGCGCACCACAGTCGGCGTCCGGGGCCCGGCTCCAGTCACCGCTGCCTGCGCTCAGGGCGCAGGGGAAGCCGCAGGGCGTGCCAGGGGCCGGCGGCCGAGGCGCGTCCGTGAGCCCTGAGCTCGGGACCCGCCGCCCTCCGGGTCGGGCGCAGAGCTTTGCAGCGGCTACTGCGAGGGCCTCGGCGCGCCCCGGGATCTGCGCAGGAGGGCGCTTGCCCGCTCCTACCCGACCTCTGGCACCTTCCCGTAGCGTCCGAGCGCCAACTGCCCCAAGAACGCTCCAACTCCAGGCCACCTGCCGGGCAGAGGGGGCGCTGCTGCTGGGCACCAGCCGTGGCCCCAGGGAGCGAGCCGGCGCCTTCAGGGGAGCTCGGGGGCCCCGGATTGGGTGTCGGCCGCAGCCGCCTCCCCGGGGAGTCCAGGACCTTCAGGCGTCCGCCCTCTCTTTCATGCCGAGCCCCTGCCGCTGCTGGACCTGTCCGGAGAGCCATCCGCCTGGCCCTGGGCCGCCAGGGCCTGCAGTACATCGGCTCCCTGCCCCTGCCTCAGTCTCTCCAAAACTATCTGCAGTCCCAGTGACCGGGCTGTGCGCGCTGAGGGGCAGCAGTGGGCAGGCCGCTGGCCCGGCCTTTCCTCTCACGGGCACACAGAACATTCAGGAAGGTGTCTTTCTCACCCCGATCCCCCAGAACTTGCAGCTCTTTGGAAGGCCAGTATGTGTTCCCAACTTTACAAATGAATGTCTGTTGCCAACAGTATTTGCTGCCTGAGAAGCAGCTCCCCCAAGTCCGACACCTGCTTGGAAGCCGCGAAGCCCCCGGGGCCTCTGCCCGGAGGAGGGCCTGCCTGCCCACTGGACTCAGCAGCCACCAGATCCGTATTGATCCGGGAGCCTGTTTCCATATTCAAGAGAATGAATAGCCCTAACCGGTTTGGCTCAGTGGATAGAGCGTCGGCCTGTGGATTAAAGGGCCCCAGGTTGGATTCCGGTCAAGGGCGTGTGCCTTGGTTGCGGGCACATCCCCAGTGGGAAGTGTACAGGAGGCGGCTGATC